TTTGAATTGCCAACATTGGAACTGATGATGTCAGTGAAGTAGCTGGATTTGGCTTGAGAAATATTGTCCTTATACTGGATGACGTGGTTCGCATAGAGTTCCTTGTGAATTGAGAGACCGGATTTCTTATAGAGTCGCTCCAACCTCCGACCTTTGGATTTCAGAGAACGGAGTTCTGGAGTGAACCAGGGTGCAGAGTTGGAGAAGGAGATAGACCGGGTTGAGCAACAGCCCACGAGTTTATGGTTGTCAGGAAATAACCCGCAGTGGTTTATAAGGCTGTTGACGAGGAAATGAAACACAGACTCGTACCAAATGCTGAAAACATCCTGTTTCCATCTGCCACAATGTCGACTCAACTGCTTCTGATTTTCTGCCTTTTTGGACCAATAATGGCAAAAAAACCTCCTGGTAGGATCATTTAATGACAATCTTATACTCAATTGATAATATATCTTTTTAGTCAGCCAAAATGTGGCTGAACTATTATATGATTTGTGACGGATTGAATCGTAAGTTTTCAAATTAGGCTATTTTGATTTAAGGTATATTTGTTGTATAACATCATGACTAAAACTCATCGTATATAACGTTTGTGAAGTCAAATCTCAACATATGTTTATCCAAAGATCTGAAAATGAACTGAACTTTATTAGAGCAAAGGGCACAGAAAGCTTACATATTTATCATCCACTTTTACTACTGTTAATAAATTAACGTATCTTAACTTTAGAACAAAGCCTTACTTCCTCAAATTTAAATTCTGTGGAACCAAAATCCCCTTGATCTCATTTCTTTCTTTTGTATGTTATTGCGTGTGTGAGTGTTCACTTCCTTGTGTAGCATAGCTCTCTACATCACCATGAAATGTCGTCAAAATGTCAGATGAATCAAGATGGCACCACGTAACAGTAATTACTTCACTTTAACACAAACCAGACAATCCTTTTCTACATAGAGATGTGTGTCTGCCATGTGGCTCGTGAACCACTGGGCGAATTTTAATGAAACTCAGAAAGTAATCATATCGTAGATATAAATGATTAACTTTTGGAGCCAACACAATTCAAGATGACTGTCACAGCTAACAACACAAATAAGTCTAAAACTCCCTTAATTTTACTAAAAAAAATTGGGGGAGGGAGGGTTAGCTCATAATCTGGGCTTAAACCCGCAGCCTCAGGATAATGCGACCACAGCACTGACCACTGAACTACCGTGTCCCTTCAATCAATTTTAAATATGCTGATCAAATATTTAGTGGGGTAGTAACTAAGTGTCATTCCCAACATTCCACCAACACCAACAGATCATGAAAAACAAACTTTGTTTAAAGCTTTAGACATTAGCTCTGTTAAAATATGCTTCACGAACCACTGGATATGTAGTTCAAGATGGCTTCCACAATTAATCAACTTCAATAAACTGCGCACTTGGTCAATTTTAAGTTAAAATATAGGGTGGTAGTAGCTGGAAGTCATTCCTAAGACATACTCTGAGTGCTAACAGATTGCACAAACTGAATATTTTCAAGAATTAACCAAAAATGCTAAATTTTTTCTAGCTAAGACTATCTTAATTTTAAACTCTGGCGATATCAGGTCTCTCTTGTAAATGAGTCCCCGAGGCTCAGTGGGACTAACCTGTATAAATAAAGGTTGAATTAATTAATTATTACAAAGAATGCAAGGCCCTTAGTTCTTTTTAAGATTGTCAGGTGCCGATTTTTATTTCTGCCATTTTAAAGTGATAATCTTTCATATGATCTTTGTTCTACGTTTGTCAAAGCGAAATACATGTTGGCTTGAATCTTGGCAACGTTCTCAGCTATCTTATCACCGGAAACCAAGGCATTATTTTTAGCTGTTCATAACAAAAAATATGACCTGGTGGTGTTTGTAAATGAGAACGTGTTCTCAAACATTTCACCTGGTAAAGAAAGGTCAAATAAAAATTAAATAAAGAATGTGTATTTAGAAACAATGCTGTTATGCATTTAGTCTATTGGTGGTCAATTGTGATTGAAAAGCTTTTTTATATAGTGTTTTATATGAACTATTATATACATAGATATATATTTTTAATTTGTCACTTGTGTTTCTGACAGATGTGGAGTGTCTAGTGATGAATCAAGAATACGTACACTGTTTGTGGAACAGTCAGACCATCCCAGAGGTCAATTACACCTTCTCCAGCTGGTTCGTACCTGATGATACTTCTTCTTCTTTCAACTTTTACTTCTTCAGCTTTCACCACAATGAGTCATCCATCTCACTCTGTCCTCTGCATCCTCTGTCCTCACTCCAACTACCTCCATGTCCTCTCTAACTGCAGCCATATATCTCCTCTCATATGCCATTGAATATTTTAGTCAAAAACATCACTGCCATCTCTTTTAGGCATTTCCAAACCTCCACTGGTATGTCATCAAGTCCTACTGCCTTTCACTTCATTCTGTTCAGAGCTTTCTGAACTTCACATTCACTAATCTTTCCCACTTCCTGGTCCACAACTTCCATGACCTATACTCTTTTTTTCTCTTTCATTCACTTCATTCATTAGCTCCTCAAAATACTCCTTCAATCTTCCCCTCACGGTCTCCTCACTTGTTAGAACATTACCATTCCTATCTTTCACAAGCCTAACATGCTGCACATCCTGTCCAGCCTGATCCCTCTGTCTTGCCATTCGATACAAGTCCTTCTCACCCTCTTTAGTGTCTGGCCTCCCATACAACTCATCATACGCCTTCTGTTTTGCCTTAGCTTCCTCCCTTTTTGCTCTACTTTGCATCTCCTTATATTCCTGTCTCCTCTCTTCAGTCCTCTCACTGTCTTATTTCTTCTTGACTAACCTCGTTCTTTGAATAGCTTCCCGTGCTTCACTATTCCACCACCAGGTTTCATCCATCCATCCATTATCTTTACCAGTTTCTTCCTTTTTGGGTCGCAGGGTTCTCTGGTGCCCATATCCAGCAATCACTGTACGAGAGGCGGGGTACACTCTGGACAGGTCACAAGTCCACCAGGTTACTTCATCCTCTTTTCTCTGTCCAGATGACACACCAAGTACCTTCCTACCTGTCTCTCTAATTACTGCTGCTGTAGTAGTCCAGTTATCTGGAAGCTCTTTCTTACCACCCAGAACCTTTAACATCTCCTCTCTTAAATCCTCTAAACATTCTTTTTTTCCCCTCATCTTCCACCATTTAGTCTTCTTCTCTTATTTTACTCTTTTTCTCTTCACACCAACAGTCATTCTACACACAGCCATCTGATGCTGTCTGGCCACACTCTCCCCAGCCACAACCTTACAATCCAGAATCAGAATCAGAATAAACTTTATTGGAATTGCACCGAGGTACAATGCAAATATGTACGTACAGTCGGCCGAAAGATGGGCAGAGTGCACAAAGCTGCAACTACAGGAGAGCGCGGCCATTTTATCCTTATCAGATAATCATCTTAGATAGGAAAAGGGGGAGAAACATGAGGGTAGATAGTGGTATTACAAAAAAAGATCTTTCACATCTTGTCTATCAGGACATGATTTGAGACATCAAAAAAACTCTACCAGCAAGCACAATTAAAGCATGATTACATTTACATTTGACATCAAGGTGTTGAGATTTGTCTATGAGCTCTTTTTCAGATCAGACACAGTTTCTGAAGATGTTGTTCCAGCCACAGCAGTTCTGATAAGCTTGCACAGAAAG